CATAATTGTATTTTCCGCGTTTCGCGTTTATCGTGATCGCTGTTGTTATTGTCATTTAGTTGACAATAAGTTGTTACGTTTACGCGGAAGATCGTCGTGGAAGCTTTGGTTTGATGAGGCGTGAAAGGGTTATATCAGTCCCAATGTGATTCAGAAAGGATGCCAATCATCTTAAATAGTGTCAAGTGGTTCTATCAATCCCGACACCATCCAAAAAACGATGTTAATTTGAAAGATGCATGATACAGCCTTCGAGGAACAACTTCAAACAACGAAGAACTAAGGTTGCCTCATTTTAAATTGTATCAAAGGGTTATTTCCAATCCCGAAGATCCAGTCTTTGAGGAACAATTTTAAACAACGAAGTGTCATTGTTGGATCATTTTAAACAGTGTCAAAAACTTTTACCAGTCGCAGAATCGTCCAAGAACGACGGCAATTTGGAGAACGCAAGGTCCAGTCTTCGTGGAACAATTTTAAACAATAAAGGGTCAAGGTTAAGTCATTTTAGATAGTGTCAAACGGTTTTATCAGTTCTGATAGCATCCAAAAACCATGTTAATTTGAAAGAGGCAAGATACAGCTTTCAAGGAACAACTTCAAACAACGAAGAGCTAGGGTTCTGCCATTTTAAATTCTATCAAAGGGTTATTTCCAATCCCAGAACCGTCCAAGAACGGTGGCAATTTGAAAAACGCAAGATCCAGTCAGAGTTGAGTCATTTTAAATAGGTTCTATCAGTCCCAACACTATCCAAAAACAATGTCAATTTGAAAAATGCAAGATACAGTTTTCAAGGAATAACTTCAAACGACGAAGAGTTAGAGTCCTCTCATCTTAAAAATTCTATCGAAGGCTTCCATCGATCCCACAACTACCCAAAAACGCTGACAACTTGAAAAACACAAGACACAGTCTGCCCCAACAATTTTAAACAGCAAAGAGCCAGAATATTAGGTCATCACGAAGTGTCAACGGCTTCCACGAGCCCAAAACGAAGTCAATTTGAAAAATGCAAGACACAGTTTTCAAGGAACAACTTCGAACAACGAAGAGTCTTCTGTCATTTCAAATTGTATCAAAGTCCTCCATCAATTCCATAACCACCCAAAACAACCCTGACAACTAGAAAAACACAAGACACAGTCTGTCCCAACAACATTAAACAACAAAGAGCCAGAATATTAGGTCATCACAAAGTGTCAACGGCTTCCACCAACTCAACATCGCCGAAAAAACGCCGGCAATTCGAAACACCCAATCTGCATCCTCCCAGAAAAAAACAACATTAAACAACGAATTCCCGACGATACAACGAACGGTAACGTTCACAAAGTGGCCTTGTTAAAAGCCGAAGAAACCAGAGCAAACACGGTCGGGGGAACGTTCCGGTGGGATGACAAAGGGGTCCGTAGGACAGTTTTCACCGCGTTATCCCCGTCGAATTGGCCCAGCAGCGATCCATTAACCCCGGACAAGCTGCGTGATCCGAAAGCCGGACACTTTAAGCCCGATTCCCACGCACCGTGACGCCCGGGAAGGTAGATATTAGCTCGAGCAGGGCGGCGCGGAGGAAACGGGAGCAGCGACAGGACCGGGCGAGAGGCCTGGTTCCCGGTTTTTCCCGGTGTTTGCTGACCACCCCGTGTTTGCCCGTGCGCGGCGCGCCTCGAGACAGACTCGAGGAAGCCGTCTCCGAAGGACTCGACTCGCCGAGTGCCTGATTTTTGTTTGCTGCCTCGGGATTTTCCCGACAAAGGGGCTGCCGAGCCGACGCGTCGCCGGCCAGGATTAGAGAGATCCGATCCTTCGAGACGTCCTTTCGGACGGGTCCCGGAGCTGTTCGCGCTAATTTCTCTGTCCGGCAGCGAACAGGACACCGGGACGAAATAATTACCGGCGGCTGGGAGTCGAGTCGAGGGTCCTCGGGCCCCCGTTTTCCCGGGCCCTTTCTCCCTCCGGAGTCGTCCAACGGCTTCCCAAATCGCTTCGCAAGCTCGTCGCAAACTCGCTCTCGCCGGCTGCGCAATTAATTCGACGAGAAACGTTCGGCGGCCGAAAAAAAGAGGATGATGCGTCGATGCGTGGCGCGTCATCCCCGCGCGACCGCATGCGGCCCCAAACCCCTCCGTGATCTCCGATAGAAAAGACGCCGGCTGAAGGAGCGCGCGAGAGGACCCTGGCCATCATCTCGTCTTCCGCTCCAGATCCCGGCGACCAAAGTGTCCCGCATTATCCCTCGCAGATCCGCATCTTCCCCGAATCTGGAAAGGGTTGACGGCTGCCGGCGGACCGGCTATTAGCCCGCTCGAGGGGCTGCCGGCAGGGGTATTTTCTGGGCTCGTGCACAAACTGGATCTCTACGGTGCTCGCCGCGGTCGGAAGCCGTCCCGGCGGATCGTAGGTGAACCGTGGCTAACGTTGTGGAGAGAGGTTACCTTCCGCGGACCCTTCCCTCTACCCCCGTTCAACCCCATCCGGGGCACCGGAGAAAAGGGGACGACTGGTGGCCGGTGGTTGGTGGCGCACCGCGCGATGCGTGCTGCCATGGTGGAACAAACGAGCGGGAGACGAAGAAGAAGAAGAAGAAGACGACGACAGAGAAGAAGAAGAAGAAGAAGCAGAAGAAGAAGACGGAGGCCACGATGAAGAAAAAGGCTGCCGGTAACAAAGGTCGGGCTGTGCCAGCCATTGACATCGCTCTGGGCCCCGGCTGTTCAGGAGAGGACTAGATTTCACGAGCCAGCGATGCAAGATCCTTCAAAGGACGCCGACACGAACTGCCGCAAAAAGGATTCGCAAAAAAAAGAGAACCGACGGGGGGCGGGCAGGGGGCTGCCGAAGGGAGGAGCGGTGGGGAGGCCGCTGAAAGAGCCAGGCTTCTTTGCGAGACGCTGGCTTCCGCAGGCCTCTCTTCTTCTCCGAGAGAAAAGGCGAGAGAGACGGGGGCTAATAGAAGAACTAAGGGGCGAACCGCGGACGGCGCGGGGGGCCGGGGACGCGGGATCGCGCAGCTACTTGACGGCGAAATCCATCGCGATAACTTAATCCTCGGATTAGCCCGCCACGCCGCACCGCACCGCACCGCACCGCACCGCGCCGCGCCGCGTCGCGGCAACACGGTTTGGAATCCCCGCGGAAATCCGATCGTCAACTGCCGCCGCCGCCCCCGCGGCTCCCCGTCCCTCCGCCGCCGAATCCTTCTGTTTCTCGTCTCGTCGGAGGAAACACGGACCCCGTTTCCGGCCCTTTCGCAGGAGGGCCCCTACCTCCAGCAGATTTCCGGGACGGGTTGGGACCTCTCTCGTCTGCGAATTCCTGCTGAAGGAGTCGCTGGAAACTCCGCGCGCGTCCCGCAACTCGGTGGAAACTTTTCCACGGAGCTGCCGCGGTTCGGTTTACCTGCCGCGATCAGGATTAACTTGTAGAACATGTGTGTGTGTGTGTGGGAAACTGACGGAAACGTTGGTACTTTTTCTCATTCGGTTCTCGTGCGTTGTTGTTGGCGGAATGCATTATTATTGTTATTGTCATTAGGACGTTCCGCGAAACTTGTATCACCGATGGTACGTGCTTGCATGTTTATTGAATGGTAATATTTTGAATGGTAATATTTTATACTCGTGCGATTATGCTTGCGCCATTATACTCGCGCGATTTCGATAAAAATATAGTTCGTAACGAATTTAGAAGCGGAGAATTCATTTGTAATGCGAGAATGGGTCGTAATAAGTTTGTTTTGTTGTTAGTAGTATAAATAGTAATAGTAATAGTGATAATAGTAGTATAATAGTAGTAGTATAATAATAATAGTAATAGTAATGGTAGTATATAAATAGTAGTAAAGTTGTGTTTGTCGTAGTATAAATACGATAATTAATAATTACGTATAGTATATCAAGTTCCAGTGAAATATCAAATGATCACTAAAAACAGCTCGGCACAAAATGTGTTGAACTGTTAATTTTACGCATTCGTGGCAGAACATGTTTATTCGTAACGTCGAGCAGTGGAAAGGGTGAACACATTTAACCCTTTGCAGTCGAGCGACGACGTTATATTATATTATATATAATAGGCGTCATTGTAAATCATTATATCACGTTCCGATATGATTTGAACACCATCAAATTTGTTTGTATTTAAAAAACCTGTCGAATGTGTGTTGCACGAGTCGCGAAATTCAATTCCATGTGCATGAAATGCACTGGATTATGCAAAATGTAAGTGCTGTAGGTCAGAAAAATTATTTTGGATCGTAAAATTGATTCCGATTGAACTATCCTTTTATCCCCCTCCCTTTTCTACTATTTCTTTTATATATATATACATTATAGTGAGAAAAGAATGCAGCAGTATTTTTAATTTTCTCTTTTGTCTTTGATATTCTGGCTTTCGTTTATTCATTTCTTGCTATGCTAAGTGTATCAAATATCCGCAGTCTATTTATTATTATTATTCTCGTTTTTAGTGTAAATGCTGGTAATTCTTCTAACTTTTCTATGATTATATTCGCGCTGTTATGCTCGCGCGACTTTATACTCGTGCAATTATGCTTGCGCGATTGTACTCGCGCGATTATGCTTGCGCGATTTTATACTCGCGCGATTATACTAGCGCGATTATACTCGCGCCTATAAAAATAAATAATTATCATATGCCACGTGCATAATTTATATCAAAATCCAACATAGCCGAATCGAACGCAGATCTGCGATCGCAAAAGATCAAAAATGCCGAAATCGATTCCGGACAAACAGCAGAAATAACCAAAAAAAAAGCGAAAATAGCGATTTTCACGATCAATCGTGACGATTTTCACGTTCCGCGCGTACAATTCTCGTCATCGTTGCGGACAGGGGACCGTAAACGAGCTTTTAATCGGCCGTGTCGTTCAAGGGGTCGCAAAGCTGGGCGAAAGTTAGGCGATTAATTGCGAGACACGGAGCTCCGACTTAGTGGCTAAGTAAGTAAGTAATTGTTTGGTTGGCGGTACGTACAATACTTACAAAGTCGTGCTTGTCGCTGATGTTGTTGGTGAGTTTCAGCTTGTGGAAGCTCACGACCTTCTGCATCCATTGCTCGCCGGTGCTCGGCGAGTCCGGATGGATGTACATCCTCTTCGGCATTTCCGGGTCGGCCTTCCCCGCCACCATCCACCTGCTGCAAGCCGAACGCATCGATTATGGTTGGACACGATCGGGAACGTCGGATCGCCGCACGGAATCCCGGTGTTTCGCGCCCGAAAACGGCGCGAAACATTTGCCGAGTGAAATCGTAGATCTACGGGGTGTCCCAAAAATGTCTCGCAATCCGGAAATTGGAGGTTCCTGAGGTCATACGAAGTAACTTTGCCCTTTGCGAAAATGTGACCCGCGGCTTCGTTTGCGAGTTATTAACGAAAAACGACGACCAATAGGAGGCGAGATCGGTTGGCGCTGAGCCAACGGGCGGAACTGGGTCTCCGCGCTCGTCGGTTGAGCCGCCTCGCGCAAGTCGTGCTCGCCTCTCATTGGTCACAGTTTTTCGCGAATAATTCGTAAACAAAGCTCTGGATCGCATTTTCGCTAAGGAAAAAGTTACTTCAAATCATCTCAGGAATCTCCCATTTCCGAATTGCGAGATATTTTTCGGACACCCTGTATATTCGACTCTTTTTCATAGTTTACCGAAATGCTTTAATGCTCAATTCTGTTTTTATACACGGTGGTTTCTTCGCACGATTTTTATTTAAAGCGACGCTGAAAAATACATTTCAAGTTTCTTTTTGGGTGATTTCGTTCGATTTAGCGAGGTTGAGCAGTTTTATGAACGAATTCTTTAGATATTTCTTATGGGTTTTGAAGCTATCGAGCTAATCCTCTATTTTTTTTATATATTATAGGAGACGATGATTTTTTTGTTAGATAGGTTTTGATTTAAGATAGTTTAGAAAAATAAATTCAAGTTCCTTTTTACACGACCCCGATAGGATCCCTCTAAGCACCGGCTACCGCGATTGTTGTCTTTTAAGGGGAGGCGTGTCTAAACCGTTCGCAGTCCGATCATCGCAGGTGGGTCAAACGGCCGAAGGAAGAGGAACTCGTCGAACGAGTTCCAAAGTGGCTGCGGTCGCGTGATGTAATCACGTTCATTGTGGTCTCCGCGTTTCGATGCGCGGAGTCTCGACGTTTCTATCCGACTGCTCGCGAGCAGAATCGTGCACCGTCGATCGTTCGAGCATCGTAGAACGAACGATAAATCTGCAGACAGTCTCTAATTCTTCCGTTGAATTCGGCCTGCTCGAATGTACGGGTGAATGGCAATTTTTACCGCAACGGAACGAATATGTAGCTCGCTTTGCGTGACAGTGTATCGGTAAATGTAAATTAAATTAGGTAAAATAAGGAAAATAAGGAAAATAAGGAAAGTAGGGAAATAAGGAAAATAAGGAAAGTAGGGAAATAAGGGAAATAAAAGGAAAGTAGGGGAAATAAGGAAAATAAAAGGAAGTTAGGGGAAATAAGGAAAATAAAAGGAAAGTAAGGAGGATGTGAAATAAGGAAAATAAGGAAAGTAGGGGAAACAAGGAAAATAAGGAAGGAGGAGAAATAAAGAAAATAAGGAAATGCCAGCGTATCGGTAAATGTATATTAAATTAGGTAAAATAAAGAAAATAAGGAAAATAAGGAAATGACAGTGTATCAGTAAATGTAAATTAAATTAGGTAAAATAAGACAGTAAGGAAAATAAGGAAAATATGGAAAATAAAGAAAATAAGGAAAATTAGGAAAATTAGGAAAATAAGGAAAATGTGGAAATGACAGTGTATCAGTAAATGTAAATGTAAATTAGATAAAATAAGTAAAATAAGGAATATAAAGAAAATAAGGAAAATATGGAAAATATTGAAAATAAAGAAAATAAGGAAAATAAAATAAGGAAAACAAGGAAAATAAAACAAGGTAGATAAGGAAAATGAGGAAAATAAAATAAAGGAAATAAGGAAACTAAAATAAGTAAATTAAGCAAAATAAATAAAACAGATTAGCGGGAAATTTACCGTTTAACATCTCAGCAGAAGGGAACCGATGATCGTTACCGTGCTTATGGGAGGATACGTGGGTGGATTCCGTAAAAGCGGAGAGGTCTGCGGGCGCGCGTATGTATCGTCGACAATGGGACAAGAACCGCGGTTCACGGAAGGACCTAAATATTTCGCTGGAAGTACGGGAATGATTTCGCGGTTGCAAAAAGCCATCGGACGGCGAGCGGCTCGGAATAGGATCCCGTTTCATTCATCGCGTGGGAATCGCCGCGCGGATTCGCCATTTACGCGCCGGCCGGTGCGGCCGCTCCGCTTAAGGAGCCGGATCGCTGACACGTTTCCTCGGATTCCGCCGCTTTGTCTCGAAGTCGGCCGCACGAATTTCCCCGACAGCTTTCCCGGGAGGGCAATTATGTTCCGTTTAACACCCTCGCGGCGCGTCGGAACGCGTCGTCCCGTCCGCCGCATCCGGCGAGAGCGCGCGGCCCGCGAGAACAAGAACCGCCGGGAAAAACGAGCCGGCAAAACGCTAAACGCGCCTGATTGTTCGCCGATCCGCGTCGTGAGAACGCGTGCCTGAAATCCCGGCCGCGTCGGATCTTCCGGGAAACTTCGCCGGTGCCTGAGCGGCCGCCGCGCTCCGAGTTTGGCCGCGGCTGCTCTTCGGGGCAGCTTGGCCACGCCCCCTTCAATTTTCTTCAATTCACGGTTCTATTCGGACCAGTTAAAAATTGTTATTCGAGTAACAAGTTTCTGATAATTAAAATTTTTCGTTGAGGTAAGGAAAGAAAGGAGTCCAGGAGAAGTACACTTTGACTGCCCTGCCAACCCTAAACGATGTTTATAAAATTAGTGTACTTTATTTAATCAAATTAAAATTGAAGGATTAAATTTGAATATTCTAACGATTTGCGGATTTTAATAAGATTAGGAAGCCGTGATAAATTGGCGTAACAATCGATTTAAAAAGTAGAGTAATAATAAAATAATAGAATAATTGCGAAAAATAATTGAAACGATCGATCGAAATTCTTTCCCCCTTTTCCCTAAGTCTTAATCTTTTTCTCGAAGTTGCAACAATCCCGACAGCTTCGGCTTTTAACCCCTTAACTTGTACGCTCGAGTTAATTCTATTAAAAACTGTGCACACTCAAGATAATTCGAGCGGCGTTGTATTTTATGCTGCTATAATTTTTCACACTCGAATATAATCGAGAATTGAAACTAACAATGTGAAAGCAATGAAAAAAAATCGTTTAATTGATATTTATCATTTACATGGGATTGTAAGCTCTCACTTATATATAGAATAAATAAGTAAGTATATAAAATATTCTATACTATATATATATATATATATATANACACTCGAATATAAACGAGAATTGAAGATAACAACGTGAAAGCAAAGAAAAAAAATCGTTTTATTGATATTTATCATTTACATGAGATTGTAAGCTATAACACTTATTTATTCAAGAATAAAATATAGCTTTTTTCCATGGAACAAAAGCGCAGTATATCAAAATTCTCCACCAAAGAATTGATTTTTCTTGGCCGGTTGTTTTTCAAAAGAACTGTGCGCTTGGGTTTAATCGAAAACATTGCATTTTACAGCGAAACGAACGACGCTTCGCTCGGTTCTCGTTCGCCAGCTGCGGCCGTTCGCGCGGCAAGGAAAGAAAGTGTTAAAATGAACCGGGAACACCGTTCCCGGATGACTGACGCTCATTTAATGATGCTCGTTCCTTTATTTTCCCCTGTCCAGGTTCACGCGAAACGCAAGACATCGAAGTGAAATGATTAGCGGTTTCGTCGGTGAAGATCGGTTGCAACGGAAACCGTGCAATTAATTGCGAGCCGTCCCTTTCGTCCGACTCCAAAGCGTGGAATCGTTTCGCGGAGATCGTTTTCGGCGGGATCGAAAGCTCGAACCGGCGTTGCAATTTCGCGCGCATAAATTTCTGTCGGTCGAGGGCGAACGTTCGAGGCGCGAACTCCGAAAAACACGCGATAATCACGGCTCACGGACCAGTCGGACCGTGTAATTTCGGGCTCCGCTTGGCCCGAATATTCTCGTCTTTCTCGGAGGCGCCCGTTGCTAATTCCCCGCGAATATGTCACTATAATCAAACTTTTCGAACGTGATCGTTTCGAAATATAAATCTGGCCCGCGGAGAAAGTCGCGCCGGTGAATTACAGTGCCGGACGTCGTCGCGCCGATAAGAAGCCACGGCGCGTTCGCAACTCGTAATTTAACGGTAGAAATTTATTATTCTACGGGCACCGGTGCCCGGTGGAAAGTTTCGCGCGGACAATCGTGATTTTCTCGGCGCCGAATCTCGTCGTGCGACATCTGCGCGGAAAAAAGGTGCCGCGGAATCGTTGTTGCCGCGGAAATACAGGGTTGCAGGGAGAGCGCGGTGTTGCGAGCCTTCGGGCAAAGAGAGACTCGTCGAACATTTATTTGAAAAATTGAAATTTCTGTGTATCAACGTGAAGTTACACGCTAAATTGATTTATCGGTACAATGATAATTTTATTCGTTAAATAATAGTAATACTTTTAGTCTATAAATGATTAAAATAATAAAGCGTCAGCACCTTTGATGAATAATTTTTTGTAAAAATGTTTACTTGAAATTTGACTGGAAATCTTTATCCGTGTGATCATGATTTCTAGAAATATTTGTAATAATAATAATGTAGAATGACTCGGAAAAGATTCATTCAAGTTCGTCGATTAATGGTAAATAGACGACGTGTTTTATTCGTTGCAATTATTGATAAAAAAGATATAGAATAATTAAAAGAAGAATACTGAAGAAGTTGTTGGACAAATTAAAAACATTGCAAGAATTTAGGAACATTGTCCCATTATTGTCAATCGATTAAAACTGTCAAAGGAACGGATGCATTTTTATATGTGTATAAATATGTGTAAAAAAAATATAATACGTCAAATATATGTAAAATATAATATAAATGTTTTATATATCTTGAAATTATGCAGAGAAAGTATTCAGCTACAATTTAAACACGTTTCAGGATCCTTTTTCTTTACCAAAGAAAACGTTTTACATCCAGTTCCAAAGTTTTCTGGGCTCTCTTCGCGCCGATCTCCGCTACAAATTTTTATTCCCACGATTCAAAGCGGGGAAACGGAACGAGAAGCGATACATTTTAATTTGCAGTCTTACTTCCCGCGAGAAATGGCCGCCGCTTTGTTATTTTTTTAAAGAGAGCCATGCGAATGAAAAAGGAAAGCGACCGAGCAGCAAATTCTCCGTTGCTTCGGGTAAAACTACTTTCACCGGCCGCCGATTCTCACTTCATCATCGTCATCATCGTTATCGTTCTCATCATCATCATCGCGACGATCATCATAATCATCGCGACGATGATCGCCGTGGTCCGCGGCAACAAGACGAAAAAAGTAACTCATATCCGCGGGCCGGCCGCTGAAAACGCTAGGAACGCTTCGCGAAGGCATCGAACATAATCAGATAATTGCAATGAGTCCCGTGTTCCGAGAGGACCGCGGCGATTCGAGGAACAGTTGGGATCGTTAACGCGTCCCGTCCTTGTCAATTATACCTTTACGAGGCGTGGAACACGTGTGCACCCACGTCCGTTCGCCGCGATACTTCTGGCCGCGTGGAAATAAGCGCGGTAAGTTCGGCAAAATTGCCCTCGAACGACGGATGAAAGATAAAGACTAACGAATGAGATTGTATTCGACGCTGCCGAATGAATATTCGATCGAATCACGATTCATTTAGATACAAATTAATTCGAATGAAATTGTGTCTCGAATTATTCGAATAAAATTGTGTCTCGAATTATTCGAATAATATTGTGTCTCGAATTATTCAAATAAAGAATTGTTCGAATCAAGAATTATTCGAATAAAGACTTTCTCGAATTATTCAAATAAAGAATTATTCGAATAAAGAATTTCTCGAATTATTCAAATAAAGAATTATTCGAATAAAGAATTTCACGAATTATTCAAATAAAGAATTATTCGAATAAAGAATTTCATGAATTATTCGAATAAAGAATTTCTCGAATCATTCGAATAAAGAATTTCTCGAATCATTCGAACAAAGAATAATTCGAATAAACAGCAATGAAATGAATGAAATCGCAATGAATTATTCGAATGATATATTCGACTGAAAGGAATTCATTCGGACAACTGGCTTAGATAAATAGGTGCTTGTTGATCAATGAAAACTCGCTTACCTATTGTGGAACTTGTATCTGTAGTCATCCGCCGCGACGATGTCCAGCAGCAGCATGTACTTGGCCTTCGCGTCCAGCCCGGAAACTCGGAACTTCATCTGAGGGAACATCTGCCTAGACCCCGGATCAACAGATACACTTCGATTAGATATTAGCCATAGCCCAATTAGCAGTACTTAACTTATAATGAGTTATCAGAAAACGTTACAAATTATGTATATCGATTTCGTTGTAAATTTTCTTGACAATAATATCGATTGTGTACTAAGAATTTGTTCCCGAAAGTATGAAACGTCAACTATTAAATATTAAATATAATTTATTTAGTGTTTACAGATGAAAACCCTTTGATGCAAAGATAATGGAAACGCAGCAAGTTCGTGGCTGATAATTAAACGACAACGCAGGATAAAAGCGGATGCTAGAATATTCCAGAAAAATTAGGTAGACAGTGATAAATAAATATCGATTATAAGAATATTTATTATAATGATCGACTGGCCTTCGCACAATTTCCTACACGATGCGATAAAGCGCGCGAGCCGAATTAGAGTAGAAAGTCAGCTGTTCGTCGATCGAATAAAACGAGGATAACCGGACGGTCTCGTTCGGGCCATTCGGCCGGATTTCGCGGGCCGGTCGCAAGAACGGCCCGGTTTCTTTGCGAAACGGCGTTCGATTCCGCGTGGCCGTGGCTCGCGCGGTATTTTCACGAAGCCGCGGCATTCCCTGTCGCCGAGCAGTGTCTTACAAAGCCCGCGCGGAAAAAGTGAAAACACGCCGGGCCACGAAACGGCTTGCAAGGCATTCGGCACCGGCCTCTATCGCGGGTCGGGCTCGCATCGGGCCTCGCCGCTGTCTCGCAGAAGGCGCCCTTTCTTCGTGCAGCCAAAGGGGATTATAATTCCCCGACGTGCACCAAGTGCCTCCCTAACTGCTCGCCAGGTTGCCGCGTGCTGATGGCCTCTCGCGCGCTCCGCGAGGATCTGCTTTTTATTCCGGGGAACGCGCGGGCCCGCATCTGACAGCGGCGACGATTGACTCGTGCACGTTTCTATCCCGACCTCTCGGCATTCCGTCGAGTGTCAGAGACAAGGCGGCATACAGAGAGCAAGAGAGAGAGAGAGAGAGAGAGAGAGAGAGAGAGAGAGTGAGCGCAAGAAAGAAAGAGTCGGTCCATCGATTTGTGGATTTACAATGCATTCGTTTATGCCAACTCAACGAAGAAAGGATTTATTTGACACTTTGACTGCCGCGCCAACAGTCCAAACAATTTCGTACAATTATATTGTTTTATTCGATCGAAATAAAATCGTCGAAAATGTTCTAGTGAATTTAGGAGGATATAACCAGAGGCGAATTTAGAATTCTATCGCCGCTCTTCTTAAACATTTTATTGTTTTCCTAATCCCAGTGCCTATCTGTTGTTCCAACAATCTATCAATCGTACTGTATCATTCTCTTTTATTTTTCCCCGTTTTCCGCTTATATTTTTCTTCTATTGTATCTTTTCCTTTATTCCATTCTTTTTTTCTTTACTTCTTCTTGATATGTTGATCACGCGACATATTGTCATACTATTGTAATACAGAGGCTTCGTTCCATTGATCAAATTAATAGTATTGTTATTGTATTAATTATTAAATTATTGATATATATTTATATATTTATTTTATATTTATTTATGTATATATTCATATTAAGTATTGAATTATTCTATGAATTATTGAATGATTGAATTATTCTATGAATTATTGAATGATTGAATTATGCTATGAATTATTGAATGATTGAATTATTCTATGAATTATTGAATGATCGAATTATTATATGAATTCTTGAATAATTGAATTATTATATGAATTCTTAAATAATTGAATTATCCTATGAATTAATTGAATGATTGGATTATTATATGAATTATTGAATAACTGAATTATTCTATGAATTATTATTAATTATAAAGAATTATTATTAATAACAAGGAATTATTATTAATTACAAAGAATTACTTTTAACCATAAGGGACTATCATTAATTAACATTATCAGGAATCGGTCCGGAAAATAATCGATTAGGGTCCTATTGTCGTCAGTAGGACCCATTCGGACGCGTCGACGTTCGTCTCGAGCCCCAAAAGCGGAAGGCTCGAAACGCGGGGCTCGCATCGACGAGCCAATGAGCTTCCATTCATCCGCTCGGTTTCCGCGACGAGCGTTAACGAACCGCGAACGCCGACATTCACGCCGAAAAATTCACCGTGAAAGGGGCGCGGCGCGGCGCCGGCAAGAAAGTCTTTCTCTGAATGAGATTAGCCGAGTCTTGCGAGAACTTCGTTATTCTCCTTCGCGCAATTACGAAGTTCGCGTGGTTGCGCCGAGCCGCGAGCCGCGAGCCGCGAGGCCCTCTGAATAAAAATCAACGCCGCGCCGCGCCGCGCCGGGCCGGCTGCATCTCGCTCCTCTCGTCTCCCTTCTTGGCCCCTTTCCTGGCCCCCCCTGGCCCCCCTGGTCCCGCGTGGCTGCCTCAAGGAGCTCCCTGAAGTTCGCGGGCGGAGCGGCCTGCCTGCCACGGCCTCCGTGATGCCAAAAATTGGCCAATTACGAGCAAACATTTTGCCAGACAGCTCTTCGCGATCCGTTCTCTCTCTTCACCCCGAGGATGTAATGTAATTACAGCCGCTCTCACACGCTCCTCCGAAATGCCCCGGTCCGCGGCAACTAAGTTTCCAAATTGTCGAGCCGATCTGTCGTTTATCCTCGATCGTCCTACGGACAAGTGTTCCGAGGCACAATGAAAAGAAGAAAACTGGATGCTGCAGCTTGCAATCTCGATCGAACGAGCGAGTCGCGCGTTAACCCTTTCGCCGCTACGGACCGATGCGTTTTTATTGGATCGCGGATTTCTTATGCGAAGGGACCTCGTTGCATATTATATTTATAATTAGTATTAATTAGTAGTTATTAGTATTTACTAGTAGTATTCATAAGTAGTAGTATTAGTAGTAGTATTAGTATAGTATATATTTATTAGTATTATTTAATATTAGT